GTGGTCCCCAGTTCAACTCTCAGTTTCCCCCGAATTTATGAGTCACTCTGGATAAAAGTGTCTGCTAAATACATAAAAACACAAAAACAAAGTGGCTTATTTTGATAGCTGCTGGCTTCAGTTTGTGCCCTCAACACCACCTATAAATCCAACTTAAATCTAATTAATTACTGGTTTTAAATCAGCCTCCGGTAACTGATTGGAGTCAGTAACTGATTTAAAATGAGTCACTATTAAATCTCTGAATTGACCAGAACAAAATAGTTCAGAGTTCCTGGTCTGGTTTGATAATATTTATCCAGACACACTAGCTAGTTAGCATCAAAATGAAAGGTTTTATTCTTTAAAACACAAACAGACCAGTTCAGTTTCAGTCTCAAGTCGCCATCAGTTGTTGTACAGATTATTTAAATATGGTGCTTTTTTTATTTGTATTAGCCGGTACAATCAAAGGAAAGAGTGGGTGAAAATCCAAAGAAAAAAAAAAAAAAGTTTCCCCCACTTAAGACAAATTTGGATTATTTTATGTTCATTACAAGAAGCTGTTTGGATATTTTTAGTTTACCTCAGTTCAAATTCTACATGAATGTATCAGGATTAAAAATAAAAGGAAATAAATGAGCATTTCCAGTTTATTACATCCCCAAAAATGCTGTTTCCAGCCCCCCCGTTTAGCTAAACCAAACGGGTGTTGGGTTAGCTTTTCCGTCTTTATTCATCTTAGTTTTTCCCGGTTTACTTTGTGGAAACAGGATGAGAACTTAACAAAAACTTAACAATCAGAACGAATTCGTTATAAAATGATAATCTCAGAGAGCCTGGAAAATAAAACCAATGACTTTTGTCCAGAGTTTGGTAAAAACTTGTGTTTTTTTAATGTTTTAAACTATCTCTGAACAGATGTCACATGCTTCCAAACAAGAGTGAGAATGTCCTTAATATAAACTGGTGAGCTTTATTTGGTAGAATAAATCCTTACTAACAAGTCTTATCTTATTCTCTTAAATATTTGAGAAACGTGATTGTTTTGGGTCAATTCTCCATCCAAAAGTGCCCAAATTCTGTTTCTCCCGTTTGAGGAAAACGAGCCACCTGTGAGCTAGTTTTCTTAGAAAATCTTAAAGAAAAGGCTCAAAGAAAACACTTTTTCTCCATTTATGGAAACTAACTGTCTCAATTAGGAGTTTATGTGTTCATTCTAACATCAGTTGAACTTATTTATGACTTTTTGTGCGTAAATAAAAGAGCGAGTGGCTTTTTCTGATCTCTGCTAGCTGGAAACTTTCCATCATTTTGCACCTGTTGCTGTTTAAACTGTAAAAGAAAGGATTTTATTTATCTTTATATTTTTAACGCCTTTGGTTCTGATCAGTATTTGGACTTTGAGTGTTTCCCCAAACGAGATGGAGGAGTTATAAAATGGGAGTTATTCGCTCGTCTTTTAAGGTTTTTTTACTCAATTAATCAACATAAAAAAGAGCCAGTTGAGAAAAGACTTGCGTCCTATTTGAGTAAAGTCACTTTAAAGTCTCAACCATGTTCAAAGTACAGATAAATGAACATTAAAAACTAGATTTACTCCAAAAGAGGGTGAAATAAAACCAAACAGAACGTTTTTTTTAAGCTTTTAAATCAAACTAATGAAGCACAAGAGAGAAGTCATAGGACCAGAACAGACTTAGGAATCTCACAATTCAGAGTTTTGATGAATTATTCATTTTGTTGTCTTGTTTTTTCTCATTTAACTGTTTGTGGTTCAAAACAGAGCTGGAAAAGAATAAAACCACCAACTGATGTAGAGACAGAAGCAAAAAACGCCTGTTTTGATCCATTTTGACCCATTTTGATCCATTTTGACCCGTTTTGACCCGTTTTGACCCGTTTTTCTGAGCTATCCGGCCTGTTTGCCACCACAGGA